CCACTGTTTTCATCCATGATACGACGCACCTCCTTACAGCTGCACTTGGCGACGCGAAAGAGAACGATGCCTCCGTCGCATATGCATCTACACCTCAAGAAATCCCTGTCTCATACAAGGTCATCATATCACATCCTTCGAGCTTCAGCTCGACGCTGTTTTTCCGTCACGAGATTGGCCGGGGCTGCTACGGGGCCGTACGAATGCGAGGTCAGTGGCAACAGGCCGTCTTCCCCGACAGAGTCTCAAACAAAGTCGTCTTCTAGCCTATTGTGCGCTAAGACGACGTCAATTTTGATCTCATACTTGCGGAGACGCGCGCCATGCAGTCTTCCAAGCAATAAGCCGACTACTGCCCTTCCTTGTGTGGCACGCCGGCTGTCTGGAAAAACGAGGCGCTGTTTTCTTGGCAATGGTAAGCCTTTCTCCCGAGCCTGCTTGTAGTGTTTATTTTGAGGCCAGTTATGTAGAAACGCTGCGCGGGAGGTCTGTACACTTTTACTGCTTTGACGCTTGGGCAGACACAGAGGCGTGGGGTATCTCGCTTCATTGCTGTCGAATTGGTAAGTAATTTTCGGGTTTATAGAGCTGCCAGGTATGCTAAGTTCGCTTAGCGCAGCTCGTGGCTATTGAGGCACTTCACATAAATGACTTTGTTCACAGTAACATCAAGCCTGAGAACATCTTAGTATCTTTCGACGAGCAACTTTCGCTCTCGGATTGCGACACCTTCACGGGCCTCCACCATTCCGAGACGCCACGCACCCTGAGGGCGGCACGGTGCCCTGCCATAGTCCTACTAGTGCGCCTGAATGGCTGCATGTCCTCGTGCTTCCCGAAGTTCGGCCAGATCAAGCCGCTCACGACCGAAGTCGACCTGTGGGCCACTGGTGCTACCTGCAGTCCTACTACGGAATGGGCAAGATAAGTTGCATAGACGCGTAGGTTTATGCACGGGAACGACAGGGCGATCTCTGATCAGCCCTACTTCGCCCCGCGCCGCCCGTGCCATCGGTCGGCTTCATACAATTCCTTCGAAGAATGGATACAACAATCTATAGCAAATGAAGACCTGGTGGATTGAGAGGGAGACGCGCATCGGATTTCGCAACTCGCTCATCCAGGACTTCCTTTCCGATGTAAGGTCACACTCACACTAATCATTTTTTCCTGACGTTGTTCCTCGGCTCTTGAAGAAGGGTTCACATGAGCGCATGCCATTAGATGATGCGACGGACCATCCTCTGTTCTACGACCAACACGACGATCAGTCTGCGCATCTCCTATTCTATCCTTGCATCCGTCTCAGAATATCCTACGATTCGAGTTATGGCTCGGAGACATAGGGTGCCGAACTCGTTCATCCAGAAAAGCTCGGTGTTCTCTGCATTGCACAGCACGAAACAGGGCTGGGAGCGGAATGACAGCCCCAGGCTGAAAGATACTAGTCCCCGAGGGGGATTCGGTCCCGAAGTACAGGATTTTGCGCATGCACGACCTGATTGCGGTGGAAAGGTTGTCGTGCTTCTACGACGGGGCAAGAAACAAGGCAGCCACCAAACTGGAGGATTTGCCCTATCCTCTACCGACATTACTCGACAGCTACTCTTGTATATGTGAAAATCGTTCGCGGGCCAACCCACGCTCTGTATGTCAGGCGAATGGACGGTGATAGTATTACCTAGGGCCACAAAGCTTACGGGTCGAAGGAGACGGATAGGGTGGGAATGGCACGCCCGCACTCAACTGTGATACCACGAAGCAACAAAGCCATTGACACCACTGGGCTTCGCCGACCCGATCCAAAAAGGGATAGCGGTACAAGATCCACGAGCTACAATCGTCGATACAGCAGGCGAGGATCCCCTCGACTTGCAACGGCTCATCATTCCCGACAACCCCCTCCGTGCAAGACGCATAGCGGCCGAGCACCTTCACAGAACGAGACACCCACAGATGGAGTCCAAGGGCTTTCCCTCATCTTTAGTTTGGTTACTGTACACGCGGACGAGAACTGTCTGTTTTGGAGCGCATAGCTCCCTGGACAATAAACTACACACCGAAAAAAAGGCTTACAGGTCTCCACATTATCCTCTGGAGAGGTGTGCTGACTCTACTCAGATTCACCAGTTCTTGGCATACCTTCACTCCCGGCCAAATCTGCTTGCAGGCGCCTGACTCCTCATGGCCAAGTTCAGATATAAAAACTGCATAGAGCTCTGTCGAGGGGACGAGCCCCACCAGGCATAGCTATCTCTTCTAAGGTATGGATGACACAACCAAATCAAGGGACAAAGACTCACCAGCAAACCCGGTGCTAGATTACGAGCCCTACGCATTGGCGATCGTCGAGTCCATGGTGATCGAGCCAATCTGGGGCCACCAATTACCATGGACTTGATGATCCTCAGGCCTTATTGTTGAATAACTTATTGCCCCCAATGAATGATTCTTGGTGCGTTTAGAAGATCGCTGTCGAGAGCGACCACCAACTGCCCACCCTAGTACGTAGCTCAATGCAACTGAGTTCAAGTGCCGTGCACAAAAATGGGCTGCAGCTCTCCGATTGTGTGAAAACCGTTGTATGTGGAGCCATTTACTACAGATTAGGCTGGAGGCCGCAAGAGACCGAAGAAATGTATGTGTCGTACGTTGTCGCCAAGAAATCGAAGAGTACTCTCGCACGCGTCTGGTACACGCGGTTTGAATAGAATAGGTGCCTGCTCCGTATAGAGTATATGTCCGCACAATACCCGCCCCATGTGCGACCAGCAGCATAATTAATGGCCACCCGCGTGCGATGTCCTGCACTGACGGGCCACACCATGGAACACGTGAGCGCACCGGCGCCCAGACAGTTGACTCGACTGCCAGTGCCAGATTCGCATTGCCTCCTGCTGCCGTCACGCATGGCACATCTGGCACCTAACCTTATGCTCAGTCTTCCGTCCACTGCACGGCGCCCAAATATTGAGTACGTCCTTGGTGTGGGATATGACTAGTACTTGGATGAGATAGATGGCCGGAAGTGTACAGACAATTAGATGGCATCTCAATGTCTGTCGTTTTGCCCCTACTACTGTAATTGTGCTCGCTGACAGCGATCTGTCTCAGGGGGAATGTGTACTGAGCGGTGTTATACAAAGGCTGCAAGCCGCGCTGTAAACGCGATCCCCGGCGTTTGCCCGCTTGTTTGCCCGAGTTAAAAACGTATTTTTAATGATCCGCACTATACGGATCGTGGTAAGTGCGAGTGGAGTCTTGGAGCAACTCGATTCTCAGCGATCTACGTAATAATTCTGGTTTGGTTGTCTCATCATTGGGCATTTTAACTGCTTCAAGTTAATCTAAAGGTAGGTTGCTGAATGGCCTGTATAAGGACGAAGGTTAACATGCTCGAGGTTAGGTGCTCGCGAGATGACGCGATGACGTCGCTCTCATTCTTAAGGCTCAAAAAAGACTCGGATATATCTTGTCGTTGAGACGGAGGATTGACGTCGTTTTTCCTCCGTACGACCATATACCTTTTTGCGGCGTCTCTTGCCTATGAAGGAATATCCTCAAGTCGCGGTCTGTAATTTCAACTCCCCACGGCAAACTATATTTAGAAAGCTGTGCAATAGGTTCTCCTTGGATATTTGTGCGGAGACGGACATTAACCTTTTCGGAACCGATCTTATTCACGCGGGCACGTAGCGACGGCGACGGCAATGCCCGCGTCGTCTCCGAGCGGTCTCTTGCGGTCTTATACCAACATTGCGTGTTGTTGGACACGTTCTGGTCAGGATGGTATAAAGAGACCCTCCCAAAACTCCTTCAAACGACAGTGTCGTCCGCTTCTTCCCCAGCAGTGTAGCCGCGTCATTCGACAAATTGGTCTCCTCGAACATGATCTCTCCTATCCAACTTCTAGCTGTATTGTCGATGCATGCTATCACCCTTGTTGACGCGTCACCGGCGAACTGTACGCGCAATTACACTGTTAAACCCGGTGACACCTGCGACGCAATCGCCGCAGCGCAAAGTGCTTCTACGTTTGTCGCTGTCACGCATGACATTGGATCATGGGACTGAACGTCTATCGCAGGTACCAGATCCTGAGCGTCAACTCCCCAACCGTGAACTCAGGCTGCACAAATATATTCCCCGGAGAAGTTATCTGTCTCGCGATCGAGGGACAAGACTGTCAACCTGTCGCTGTTGTTCAGGATGGTGACTCGTGCTCGTCCATTGCTTCTGGCGCAGCTATCAACATCAGCACACTCCTTGCGAACAACCCTAATCTCGGTTCTAATTGTCAGTTTTTGTATGTCAATGAAGTTAGTACAGTGCTCCTCAAGTTTGCGTGGACGCTCACTCTTGTTGCTTCTCCTATTGTCTACAGGTTGTCTGTGTCGACAGCACCGTTGTCGTCACGAGCACTTAAGTGATCATCAAAGGGTGTATAGGGGGCTAATTAACGGGTCGCTGTATAGGTGTTATGCCCCTGGGTTTCACTGTACAATTTTTACGGATTTTCAAAGTGGGTAGAGTTTGGTGATAACGTGATGGTCCTAAGATTCGACTGTGTGCGGCAGGTATGAAGAGCGTCTCGATGCTTGAGAGCGGTTTTTTTTTACCAATCGTCGATCGTTTCACCCTTTCTACACTGCTGCCTGTTGCACGAGCTCTTTGGACTGCATAAATATCTTCCTTGCGGTCCCCGAGCATCGCAGGACTGAGATAAATCATGTAATGGTGTTTGGAGCTACCGTGTAGCTTCATTGAACCACTCCGGTGAGGGGGCTTTCCTACACATTGCATATTTGCTAAGTATACAGTAATTTCCAGACCCATGAAGATGGAATGATCGGGCTACCCATCCTTAGTATAGTCATGGTATTCGCGCACGGGTGTTGTCTGTTATGGGGCTTAACACTTCCTGGACAATAAAATACACACCAAAAAAAGTGTAACCTGACCTTCATTCCAGGGTGATATACAATGTTCGAGCATGACTGTGAACACAACCCGGATCGAACGGATAACCTTCAGGACTCCCCGCATTGCGCTGGAATCTGAAGCTCTACCTTTGAGCTATGGGTCCCTCAGTCCGTCGACCGTATCCGACGTGATGGGCGGAAAAAAGAAAATTCGCGTCAGTATATCTGGTGCTGAGCAGTATGCATGAACTGGGCATTCAATAACGTTCGAGGATGTATATGACCTCAACATCAGCAAGGAATGTATACCAGATGAGAATAGTAACATGCCCGGCCGGGCGATGAAACGTGTAAAGGAGGGAGCGTGACGACCGAGTGGGCCGACAGGGAATAGGGCAGAAAAGCAGTGAGCTCACGGTTCCGATCAGTTGTCATGCATTTTCTTCACGTGGTGGAGCACGATGAGGGCCCCGGACTAAGATAGATATGAAGCCAGAGACAGTGAACATCATGGCTTACTGCATGAGATGGTAAGGCCCCCATCATAAGATCCTGTGCGTAGTAGGAAGGTTTCCATGGCAGGTTGCTGAGCGGCCGGCTTGATAGGTTCTGGAGGCTGCTACGATGCGCAATGGTGAGAGAATACGAACATCAGGGCTGGTAACTCGCAAGGCGGCTGAACGTAAGCAAAGGACCTCAATAGTACCTTGAGCCATGGAACGCGCAGTGGTGATCACGGGATAGGTGATTCCAGTACTAGTACTACCTTGAACACTATATTATGATCTCCTTGTCCAGTTGACACCGGATTCAAGTCAAGTCACAAAAACTGTTCGTATAGATAGCACGAATCTGGAAAGAGAAACATGACAGTACGCGGGTGCAGGCTTGAGGTAAGCTGACGCGTAATCGCGTAATCCTCTGCATCACGTGGGAAATCGCTGAGCCACTTCAAGCTCAAGGGCGTGCCAGTGACACTTCCAAAACCCAGATCGATGCGACAGGTCCGAGGGAGGCAGCAGTCATATACCATCACGTTGGCGAATGGCAGTGCGCACACAAATGTGTAGATGGCACATGCGCGGACGTCCCGGGCGGTGCAAGCAGTAATCGTGTTAGTAAGTTGCACACGATCATAGTACGCGAGTTAAATCACCAGAGTAAGCACGAAGGACGCCTCATCAGCACACGCGTTGCTCCGACGTCAAGTGGGAAAGTGAGCACGAGACCCCAACTCAGGAGATCGTTGAAATACCGCACACACTGCGCGTCGCAAGACGACTTAGCTTACACGAGACGCAACTGTTGAAAAGGGCGAAACCGGAGACGCCAGATAGGCAGGCGTGTGTTTTGAACAGGTGGGAGCAAAGGAGCGGCGAGATTACCTTGTCGAAGCCGGTCGCGGCATCCCGTTGTGAAGCATGTTAAACGGTCTTCCTTGCCACCGTGCGCAGCGGGAGCACCTCCCATACCCTACGCTCCCTCGCCCGGGCCCCGAGCCGCCTATCCTCCTCCACTGTCGTCCCCACCACGCGTACTTTGCGAACCTTGTCCACTGCATCATCGATCTCCGCTTCCTCGGCCCGCTCTTGTTCCTCTATCTCGTCCTCTCGCAGGTCAAATGCCGCTTCCGGTACGGTCGTCGCAGCCTGCAAACCCGAGAAGAGCGAAAGGGGCGACCGGAGCGTGCGCTCGAGCGCTTCAGCGGCGTCGTCCAAGACACTGCGCGGCTTGCGCTCCGGTATCGATGTGAGGTAGTACGTCCTCTCTCGCCAGGCTCCCGACGGGTTCGTGCCATCGGGGTACGCCGGGTCGGATGCGTAAGTGACGGTGACATGACCTGTCGAGGCATCGTAATGAAAACTGGGAAGCGAATGGGAATACTTGTTCGGATATGGCTGTGAGACGGGACGTCTGTGGCGCAGCACAAGCCGTCCGTCTTGAAGAGATGGGTCAAAGGAGCGTTCAGAGGGAAAAGAGCTGATCTTTACCGTCGACGTCGATTGCGTGTCCTGAAGACCTGGAGCACAGAGCGCCTGCGGTGTCGATGAAGAACACCTTCGTCGTCACGTTGAGAGGTGGGACAACATTGACGGGTCCCATCTCCTCACCTGGTTGTTCGAGGTTGGGACACGGAAAGCTGTATTCGATCCTTAAAATCAACACAGAAGACGGCAAAATTTGGTTGGACATTCTACCAGCGAGCTCTCAGTCGAGGGGTATAGGCACACAGGCGCATCGTCTTCGTACGAATCTTTTTCGACATCTAGGACCCTGTCACAAGCTACCGAGCGCAATATGAAATAACCCGGAGGAAACCCGTTTTCGTAGACCAGGGAAAGCTGCATGATTGAATGGGGTGAGGGTCGAGAGCAAGAGATGCCCGGGTCCTCGGAACCCCTATCCTATGTGCGTCTGCCAAATCCCGTCGCAGATCCGCCGGACAAGACAGATCTAGCAGGACTCTTATTATACATGGACACGTGAATCTACACTACAACCACCCGTCATCGCCGTCGTCGTCCACAAACTGACCCGGCAAGCGTCGAGGGGTTTCCGCCGCTTCTAATCTTTGTCTCTCGACACAGTCCTCCAGAGCCCCCTTTGTCTTCGTCAGGCCCTTCCACTCATGGCGAGCAACGGAGCTGCCCCCTCGACTGCTTTCAAACGCGGCGCTGAGTAGCACCGGCTCACGCGGGTGCCAGCTTACATCGCGAACGCAGACCGACTCTCTATCGCTTGTCATCGGCTCGGGCTCCGGAGCTGATGGGTCAACGCGAAGCGGCAGCGTACGTGCGCGGTCGAGGACTTGCACGACACGGCCGTCAAGTGACCAAATCTGCGACCATTTAGATCGACCCCGTCAGATTCCGATGAGCAGTGGCGAGTTCACGCACGTGGATCCTGCCGTCGTACGAGCCGGAATAGACATACTGACTGCCGGTCGTCTCAGCAGGGCTGAAGTGACAACGGATAAGTGTCTGCAAGACGGAATGTCCACGGTATGTCATGACACTGCAGTCTTTCGGATGCGCAGCGTAACGCTGGGCTGGCAACTGGCCGTACCTTCGCGCAGATCAGAGATGACAGGAACAAACGAAAAAACTGACGTGCCGGTAATCGAATTGGTCGTCGCGGTAATCTTGTCTAGAGACAGACTCCCATTCGTCATTGGTGCGCATCTTGCGCAGGTCCCAGAGGCGTAGAGCCTGGTCCTTACCGTTCGATATAACATAGCGACCGTCACCCTTAGCAGAAACATAGGTAATACCTTCAGTGTGCCCGACGAGCACACCGGAAGGTTTTTGGGAAGAGCCTAATGACCGGCGATCCCTGTTGACATTGTGTTCAATTACTCACTACACAACAATCAATAACTTGGACTAACCAGACTTTGAGGGTTGTATCGTCTGACGCGCTAACGAGAACGTTTCCAGAGGCCGTATCGGCCCAACAACAACTCTGCAAAAGAGTGAGACGGTTGCATGAATGGGACAACCTACATGCGTACATTGATATCGTCGTTATGTGCGTGGATTCTAACGGTTCTCTTGTTTGCCAAAAGATCGTACACTGAATGAAGCCTTGAGCAAGTAGCTGACCAAGGACAAACGATACCGACCGCAAATGAGACTACTGCCACCAGCAACGATTTCGTTGCCATCAGCAGAGAACCTGCAACTGTAGACTCGGAAAAGCTCGTCGTCGTAGTCAAACGCAGGCACACGAGTCCGACGTCCCGAGAAGTTAATTGGTATCTGTGTCTCTGAAGAATCGTGGGTAGTGGCCATGTACACAACTGGACACTTTGATGGGCTGTGAGCATTCGTGGACAAGGGTAGAAGGCGTTCTGTACCAAAGACGAGTAGATGACGCTAAAAGAAGCATGAATCAGACATGAAGGCCTTGTGGCGTGATCACGCACCGTTCATTGTCGGGACTGAGATGAGTATCAGTCATGGTCCATTGCCCCTGAGCACCACGAATCGTCTTGATTGTCTTCAAGGTGGATTGAACTGGAGGGACAATGTACGAGCGCTGCCGCCAGCGATGGCGACGGGGTTGTGGAGGCATATCGGGCTTCTCGGGCTGCGTCGGTGATGCAGTCATGTCGTACACACTGATCTTGAAGTCTATACGCCTTGAGCAGCCGCCTATAAGCGCGGTAGGCTGATCAGACCTTGCGTTCCCGTATAGTAGAACGATGAATCTGAGTCGGTCGGTGAGCATAGAGACGCGATCGAAGAGCGGATAGAGGTACCTGCAGAGAATTGAGCGCAGTAGATGTTCGCATCTTCTTCAACAACCGTGGTGCCGTTTGTATTCGGTACGAGGCCCTAGCTTTGTTAGGCTCACAGTGCGCATCAAGAAGTGGGGGCACGCGTACGCTGACGATATCTTCCTTGAAAACGGGGCGAAGCCGAGATCCCCTGGAAAGCAACTGCGTGGCGACGTTCTTACGCCCGGCACGAGATTCTAATTTTGACCAGACTCTCCCGTACTCGCCGCTCGTAATGAGCCGGACGCCCGTGGGCTGTGGCTTTTCATGTGGCCTGGCCCAATCAGGAGTCGGTGCTGACGGACGCGCTTGTCGCCTACGAGCCTGTACGAGGCGGAACAAGTAAGAGATGACTCGATCGTCAGCGAATTCTTCATCGCCGCCCGAGCCGGCTCCTTCGCCGGTAGGCTGCTCGTAGCTGTCTGTGCGACCGATGCGCATCGTATGTGACCTGCCAGTATCATCGTTGATAACCATAGCTATTAGAACTCCCATGAGGATCGGCATGAAGAGGACGACCACTGGTACGCACCACGCAGAGTGCCGTCCTGTCCTCTGGTAGCGCGATAGGTGACGAAATCCTCTTCGGAGACATCCTCCTCAGAAGCATCCTCATCTTCCCAAACTTCCTGTCCTTCGAACTCGGGGTCGTAACCTTCATCCATTTCGTCGTCTGAAATGTCGGAATTGTTCAGAGGGCGTGCGGACATGGTCGCCGTGGGGAGGAAGAGACCCGTGGGTCCCTATAGATTGCTGAGCAAGTCTTTCGGGACATGCCTCGGGCTCAAGTGGATGCCATCCAGTTCCCCGGCCGGAATTGGTGACGTCGCTAATCAAGATACTTCCTTCCCACGCCAGCGAGCGAACACAGCACTAGTACTTGCA